ACCAAACACCTGCTTTAAACTCCACTTCAGTAGGAAAACAGCTTTCTCTTCCTGTGAAACTCTCGTGCTCACCTGTAGCGTGAACCTTGATGATGCATGAGGACGGTGACGCTGATGGAATGCAGTAGAGCAGGAACGCCTGCTATCAGTCAGTACCTGTGCAGGTGCTGCAGGACGGTATGAAGGCATCTACATTAGCGTAGCGCTGCCACACCGGACAAAGAAAAGGAGCCACAGATTGAGTTATTTCTGATTATTTTGAGTCGTTGAAGTCGTACGGTGCAGTCCTGACGTCCCTCCTCAGGCAGCTTCACCACCGTTTATGTAAATCCTGGGTCATTAATACACAATCATTTATGTGAGTCTTGTTTGACTGACAACCTGTGATTCCTGTTGAAGACTTGGTGAAACTCACCAGGTAGTTTATCCACCTTCTCAAAGAGTTAACACGTTTAGATTCATGTTAAACTAGTACCTAGAACTCATCACCAGGCAGCTTCACCACCATTCACATTGATTTACGTCGTTAACAAGCCAGAGTTGATGTTCATGAATACCAGGAGCTCCTCACCAGGCACCAGGTGTCATCACACCACCTGATGTTTGGTTCTCAGGTTGTTGACAAGTCATGGTTTAAGGTAAATGAACACCTGGGACTCGTCACCAGGAGGTTTCACCAACGTCTGCACCTGAATCCATGTAAATGTTAACAAGCTTTGATTCATGTTAAATACTTTGGATTCCTCATCGGCAGTTTCATCATCATTCCTTTTGAGTCTTAAGAAGCTTGAAGAACTCCTCAGCAGCCAGTTTTACTGCATTTCATGCACTGATCCACAAACATCAGGTCATTACCGATAAAAGATCTGATGTGGAAGACCTCACCAGGAAGTTCTCCTCTCATTCACACCTTGATTCACGTGAATCACTGAAAAGCTTTCATCATGTTGGATAATCCCCAGAACTCCTCACCAGGTAGTTTCACCACCGTTACCCGTTGGCTTCATCAGTCTGTTGATCAGCAGTGATTCATGTTAAACACCTCAGCAGGACGTCTGAACTGAGGTCGACTCTGTGATGAAGGTAAAACATCCTCAAAACCAAGAAGAAGTCCGACTGACTGAGGAAACCTGATAACTTTCACTTTACTCACTCAGACATGCAGCCCAGACGTCAGCACACTTTTATCTTTACTTAACGAGAAAAACATGTTTTCCGAGCTGAGAGGCAGGAGGAGGCGAGTGACCAACAGAGGAGGTGTTAGATCACAGCAGGACTGGAGGGAGGAGACCAGACTAGACTCTGATTTATTTTAATTTCATGTCACACTGAGATAAAGAAGCAGTGAAAGATCTGTGAGGGCGTGAATATCAGGACGTTCAGGTAAAATGTGAGGCAGCAGACTGACCAGCTGCTGCTCTGTTTAACATTTCACTGGAGCTTTATTTGACTGTGAATCGGTGCAGATTGTCCTGACTGTGATGTAAAGCAGGTTCTGGACGGCGGCCTGGAGGCTCGCCGGGCGCCGCTCAGCGTCGGGGGAGAGTTGTGTTGTTCTAAAGTCAGCTGAAGGAGGTAAGAGCCAGAAAACAGAACGTCCTCCCACAAACTGAGCTCCAGGAAACATGAATCATCAAAAGCAACCTTTAACAAACTGATTTAAATCCATCCTTTAAGTTGTAAATAATTATTCTGATGACTTGATGTTGTGTCAACTTAATATCTGGAGAAATTAAAACTGAAAATTAAGTGACCTGAAAACAAAGTCAAGTTCAGTTAACTGAAGGAAAAAATGAGTTTAAAAACTGATTTTACTTCAAAGTTTTTAAACATGTTGTTTAAGCACAAAACACCTAAAAATGTAAAATGTAAAGACTTTGTTTAATCAAACTTGTGTTTATGTGTTCTGTGAGGATCCCGGGAGGACAACCTCACACACTGCACCAGTGTGGACGACACCGGGCCCACCAGAACCGCACGGCGCTCTGACAACAGCAAAGCCTGGATTAGTCCTGAAGGACAGACGCAGAGCTTTTAGGTCAGGAGACGAGGAGGAGACGAGGAGGAGACGAGGAGGAGATGAGGACTGTGCAGAGGCAGCTGAGGAGGAGGATCAGAGAAGAAGATGGAGGATCAGCTGCTCCAGGAGGTCTGGAGGGGCCTGAAGACCACAAAGAGCCCAAGACTGAACTGAACAGGGACCAGAGTGGGTGAAGGACCTGAACACCTTTTGAACTGGTTCTGACAGCCGGCCAGCCCTCCCCCGGCCCGGTCCACCCTGCAGCAGCCACCACTGCATCCGTCTGCACCCCCTGCTGTCTGCACCACCCCCACTGAGTCCCCCCTCTTTACTGGTCCTACCAACACCTCCCCTCCCCCGCAGGGCCCCACAGCCAGCCCTCCTGACCCGACTCGTCCCAGAGAGAACTGAGCAGGCTGAAGATCAGGAAGGTCCAGATGGCATCAGCTCCAGGCTCCTCAAATCCTGTGCAGACCAGCTGAGCAGGGTTCTGGAGCAGGTCTTCAACCTGAGCCTGAAGCTGGGGAGAGGACCACAGCCGTGGAAGACGTCCTGCGTGGTACCGGCGCCGAAGATCTCACATCCCAACGACTTCCACCGCTACAGGCCGGTGGCACTGAGATCCCACCTGATGAAGAACCTGGACAGGTTGGTCCTGGTGGGCTCATGGACCCGCTACAGTTCACCTACCAGTTTTGCTTCTTCTTCTATTTTCTTTTATTTCTTTAGGCAAACATAAACCTCCTATAAATGGACCTGAAACCTCAAAGTCGAGGTGAAAAAAACTTTAAGTCAATTTAATGAAGTTTCCTCAACTTGAATTTAATTTTAAATCAACTAAAGGAAACAAGTTCAGCATCAAAGGAGTCAGAACTCTGACAGCTTTAATGAGAGCAGTTTATCTAAATGAAGTTAACGAGCTCAGTGATGAGGTTTTAGTCAGACTCACTTCAATCCTCTGACTCGTCACAAGTTCAGCTTCAGCTCAAATGTTTTACATTCTGGTCATTAAACATCTAAAAACTGTTAAACAGCATGAACAACGAGTTGGAACAATTTCAGGGCTGCAGGTGGTTCAGTGGTTAGCTCCGTCGCCTCACAGCTAGAAGGTCGCTGGTTTGTGTCCCATTTTCTTTTCATCTTTCAGATCTTCCTGCGTGGAGTCTCCATGTTCTCCCCGTGCAGCGTGGGTTCTCTCCAGGTTCTCCGGCTTCCTCCCACAGTCCAGAAACATGCTGAGGTTAATTGGTGATTGTAAATTGTCCGTAGGTGTGAATGTGAGTGTGCTTGGTTGTCTGTCTCTAAGTGTAGCCCTGTGATAGACTGGTTACCTGTCCAGGTGAACCTGCCTTCACCCTGAGTCAGCTGGGATAGGCTCCGCCCCCCATAGTGAGGATGAAGGTGTAAAAGTTGAATTTCACCAGTAATCAACCCAAAGACTAATCAGCTAATCAGGAGGAAAGGCTGAAGCTACAAAGCTAAGCTAACTCAGAGGTTTGCTCCTCTGCGCCCCGTGAGGCTCCAGATCCTCATCCTGGTCTCACTGTCCCTGTTTACAGCGTCCTGGAGGCTGCGGAGCATCAGTGACCTCAGAGGAGTCCTGAAGGAGTCACGAGGAGGCGGGACTAGTCAGACCTGGAGGACTAGTTAGTGGATGGTGTGCGCGTGTCTGACCAGTCAGCAGACGGTGAACCGGCGCGCGGAGGAGGAGGAGGAGGAGGACGGCCATCGAGACGGACACACGCTCTGCACATGCTACATGCACTCACGTAACACACGGACACGGACACGCGCGGTCCAGGAATAGATCCGGAACATGAACAGAGCGGCGGTTACGCAAGACGGCGCGGAGCCGCAGGCGGCGGCGGCGGCGGGGAGGCTCCGGTTCCAGCGGCCGCACGGTGAGTGACAGCGACACACACACACGCACGCTCACAGACACACGCGCACAGCTGACTCCGGTGCACGAGCAGGATGTGAAGCAGCAGCTGTTACGTAATGACGCGCAGCTTCCTCTGCCTCCGGTCATGTGTGCGTGTCCGCGTGCGTGTGCACATGTGAAAGAGAGAGAGAGAGAGAGAGGCGGTGTGCGCGTGCGCGGCCCCGAGACGTACACTATTGATCAGTGTCATTGATGAATGAGCGGGGCGCGTGCTCATCGCGCCTGTTCGTATCACATCGATTAATGAGCTCCGTGCGCGCTCACACGCACACACATGTTCCGTGCTCACGCGCACACGCTCCTGTGCCGGTTAATGAGAGTCCGGTGGAGGTTCGGGGAGGTTCTGGGCGCCGCAGACCCGGAACAAGGCGTCCGTCTGCGGCAGCGCGCTACTGGGGGGAGGAGGAGGAGGAGGGGGGGAGAGGGGTGAGTAGAGGGGCAACAGAGAGGGGGCTGGGGCAGTTGGGGGAAGAGAAACGCCCACGTGGCTCCTCGTGAAGACAGAATGGAGTCCAAGCAGCAGAACGGGCCTCTGGTGCGGCGGAGACGCGTGCGCTGCGAGAGCACAGGTGAGCTGAGCTACAGGTAACTACAGCTGTGGTTGGAGCAGATTCACCTGCAGACCAGAAGAAACCGGAGTGAAGCTGGTTCCATGAACAGCTGCTCCAACCTGATCAACAGAAACATTGATCCTTTAATGTCTGGAGGAAACTTTAAGGACGTGAACACCTGAAGAACCGCATGAACACATGTGATCAGTGAGGACCAGCATCAGCTTCAGCTGTAGAAACATCCACACATATCTATAAAAGATGATGTTTTAGTCTTTAAATGCAGGAAAACAGTTTAATTGTCACACTTTAGAAAAGAACAAGCGGCTGGTGGTTAAAGCAGGTTTCTGATGTTATTTAAAGCTTTAATCTGGTTTATTTCTTTGCTTTTATTTACAACTGAATTAAATTTTATCAGTAATATTTCTGGATATTATCTGTAATTTAACAAAATGTGGAAAATCTAAAAACTAACTGTCAAACCATATTCAGACTTTTTGCCTCGTTTATAAATGATCAGTGTTCTGTCACATTACAGCAAATATTTTTGAAATAATATTTTTCTGATTTAAATACAGAAAAATTATAATATAAATATATAATTTCACACGCTGTTCAATAGATGTGATCAGTATTTTATTAAAACTGTGAAAATCTGTAAGATCTCAGTAAATTGTAAACATAAATAAATTACAGGTAAAAACTGGTCAAACAAATAAACCCACGAGTTAATCTTCAGTCAGACGAGTCTCCAGCATTGAACCTAATAATCAGGGATGCAAATTTCACCCAGAATCAATCAATCAGTTATCAATTAATTATAGTATTAACACGTAATATCAACATTATTCATCAGGTCCTGAACCTCCTCAGAGTCTCTGTCATGGTCCCGTTGCTGCTAAACTCCCACAATGCTCTCTGCTGCCACCATGAGCTGTAGTCTGAGTGACGCCTCCTCTGGTCTCTACAGGACTAAACAGGAAGAGGCTCCACCTGGTGGAACAACCAGGTACTACAGCTGGTCTACGATACGTTTACTGACATCATGACCTTCTTCTTTTGACTTGTCGGTTACTCGTTACCATTCTGACCCAATTCTGTCTCGGCTCTCGGCTTGTTTGTATTTCTTTTGGCCAATCGCAGTCACCTGGAGGCGGAGCTAAGCCCAGGCTGCAGGGATGGTGTCCCCTCAGAATGGTGACGGGGTTCTGATGGAGAGGTCTGTCATTAAACCTTTAGTTCTCAGAGGAAACGACCCGAGCAGCCTTTTGCACAACCTTTCTTCAGGTCGCTGCTGGAGGCTGTCGTTCTCCTTCAGAACTTCATGTGCTGCATGACCAGCTGATGAACCTTCAGGAGCTGCTTTGATCTGTTCTGTTAGACAAGAAGCAGGTTGTAACGATCAATGTGAAGCAGTTCCTCGTTGTTTATGTTGATTTAGGATTTATTCAGGCCAGTATTCTCATGACCAGCGCTTCAACCGTCCGACTAAAACGTAACTTTTTCATGTCGGAGTTCGGTTTGTGTCGACGTGAAAGCAACGCTGTCGTGTCCCTGATGAGCCAGGTGGTGGCAGTAGTGCTGCACGTTGTCTTAAAGCAGGAAGAAGAAGAAACACAACAACAACAACAACAACAACAGCATCACTCTGCCAAAATGTTGTACAAACGGACAATTCTTGGCTTCAGGTTGAGTAAACATGTACAGAAACAGTTTTATCAGAAAAATACAGCATGCAGAGTAAAAGTACGAAAATAATCAGATTACACGAAGAAGGGATTTTAACTTCTTTGTGGTTTTCTGGTTGGAGAGTTGAGAAGAGTTTAAAAAATCTTCCTGTTAAAGATGTGAAGTAAATACAAAGACCAGGAAGTTCAATTTAAACCTTGAATCAAGGGGAAGAAATGTTCATTCGATAAAATAATAATAATAATAATAATAATAATAATAAAAATAATAATAATAAGTATAGGCAAAAATAACAATAACATGTAGCAGAAATATTCAAAAAATGTCAGAAAAGTAAAAAATAAAATGTCTTACAAATATTAAAAAGTTGACAAAATCAATAAAATATGATCCTAATGTTGTGTTGAGGCTTGTACAACAATTTCCCTGAGGTACCAAAGGGATCAATACAGTTGTATCTAATCAGTCTGATCTAAAATACCTGAAAAAAGGCATAAAAAATGTCCCTAAATAATAATAATAAAAACCTTTCAAGTGTTAAAAAAGGCCCTCTTGTAAACAAAATTGTGAAATGTCTCAGAAATGAATACAAAATATAATAATCATTTTATTTAAAAAATCAGAAAAATGCCAGTAAAATGTGCTTTTAATAAAAACAGTAAAGCGTTGCTAAAATTTGCCCAAAAAAATCTATTTAAAAAATCTTTAAATCTAATTTTTATTTCATCTCAAAATGTGCTTTTAAAAAATAACAAATAATCATAAATTACCAAACAGATGTCAAATAAATTTCTTAAAATTAAAAGAAAGATGATAATGAAAAATCAGAAAACAATTATTACATAAAAATATTAAATGTGCCCAAATATTTATTACATTAAAATATATGTATATATAAAAATGTCCCAAAGGTTGTAAACAAATATCAGTGAAATGCCAAAAGATGTCTGAAAACAGCAGTTTAGATGTATTAAGCAAATTAGTTCATATATCAGTGAAACACACTCATGCCCAAAACAACAGAATGTGAAGCAGCGCCACCTGCAGGAGCTCAACAGTACCGACCTGCTGACACACTGATCTGATCCAGGAAGGACTGAAAATACTGAGAACTGTAAAAGGAATGTCAGAAAAGTTCAAAACAAATAAACACAAACAAATCTCACAGAAGTCTCTCGGTGCAGGTGTTGATTTATGAACTGGCTGATTTAAAAATCAGCAGCTGATCTCTTGATTCCAGATTCAGGTCAGTTTTGTAACAAACCGACGCGTTATTGGGCGTCAGCTGACCGGTCGGCTCCGCCTCCACCCGGGCAAAGTTTACTGAGCTGTGATTGGTCGAAGCGCTCCCGCCTGGGGCCGACCGACCAATCAGAGCCTCCGCCTCCAGTTCACCAGGTGAGCTGACTGGCAGTTGGCCGTGGCTCCGCCCACCCTGTCGGCGTGTGAGGGAGATCAAAGCAGCGCTCACCTGCAGAGCTGCTCCTCACTCGTACCTGAACGCCAGCGAGCTCCGGACTCGCTCACCTGGCGGCTGCAGCATGTCGAACGCCCGAGGGACGCTGCTGCAGACGCCGCTGGAGAAGACCTGGGTTCCCTGGAAGAGCCGGCTGAGCCAGCGCCGAGGCTGTGAGTAGACTCGTGGCTCGAATGACTCGCTTTAACGTGTTCAAACTTGTGCTTCAGACGAGGAGGGAAGCATTTTTGTGTCGGAGCAGCTCGGCTGGTTAATCAGCTGGTTGATGAGCTGGTTAATCAGCTGGTTGATGAGCTGGTTAATCAGCTGGTTGATGAGCTGGTTAATCAGCTGCTTGATGACTGGTTGGTATGTTCAGAGATCTGCAGGACGTTGACCCTGCAGGTGGCTCTGAGGACACCAGCTGCAGCAGTGAGATGCATCAGCAGCTTCACACTCAGTCTGCACTGTGAGAACCCGAACTGGCACCTATTGTGTTAAAAAAACAACCAAAAAGAGACACAACATGGCTTTAAAAAGACACAAAATGATTCTAAAGAGGCACAAAATCACTACAAAGGTGCAAAATAACCATAAAAAGACACGAAACAACCAAAAAGAGGCACAAAAAGCTAAAAAGAAAAGAAAAGTGATCATGAAGAGATGCAAAATGATTCCAAAGAGAGGTAAAATGACCATGATTAGACACAAAATGTCTTTAAATCGACACAAAATGATTCTAAAGAGACACACAATCACCACAAAGATGCAAAAACAGTGGCTGGAAAAAGACAAAATGACACAAAACAACCACAAACAGATGCAAAAATGACCAGAAACAACCACTAAACAACCAAAAAGAGACACAAAAAACTAAAAATAGAAGCCACAAAATGAGCAGCGTCGTGGGTCTGGTTTGTGGGTTCAGAGATCTGCAGGACGTCGACCCTGCAGGTTGCTCTGAGGACACCAGCTGCAGCAGTGACATGCAGTTCAGGATCATCCTCAAACCCTGACTGGCATCTATTGTGTAAAAAAAAACGACCAAAAAGAGACGCAACATGTCTTTAAATGATTCCAAAGAGACACAAAATTATTGTAAAGAGGCACAAAATAACCACAAAGATGCAAAACGACAACGAAGAGACAAAAACCAACCAAAACGAGACACAAAAAGCTAAAAAATAGAAGAAAAATGACCACAGAGAGATGAAAAATGATTCCAAAGAGATACAAAATGATTCCACAGACAGGTAAAATGGCCATTAGGAGACGCAAAATGATTCTAAAGAGACACACAATCACCACAAAGATGCAAAATGACCACAAACAGATACAAAAAAGTGGCTGGAAAACAACAAAATGACACAAAACAGATGCAAAAACAACCACAAAGAGACAAAAACAACCACGAACAGACACAAACTGAGCAGCGCTGTGGGTCTTGTGGTTGATCGGTGGTTTGTGGTTCAGAGATCTGCAGGACGTTGACCCTGCAGGTGGCTCTGAGGACACCAGCTGCAGCTCCTCGTTGTTCTTCAGCAGCTTCAGAAGTTCTGGTTCAGCCCGGTAGAGGTTCAGGTCAACGCTTTCTGTTTGCACAAGAAAACAATCAGTGAATTCAGCAGCTTCCCTGAAAGCAGAACGAAGCGGCCATATGAGTCCACCAGATCAGCTGTTTCCCCCTGTTTGTGCTATGCTAAGCTAACTAGCCGATGACTGTCAAGAGTTCTGGTGGACCGGGTTCTCCTGCAGCTCCTCAGAGTTCTAGTTTGAACGCCGTGTCTGTCTGTCTGTGTTCCAGCGTCGGTGCCTCAGTTCACCAACTCCCCGACCATGATCGTGATGGTGGGGCTGCCGGCTCGAGGGAAGACCTACATCTCCAAGAAGCTCACCAGATACCTGAACTGGATCGGAGTCACCACCAAAGGTAGCAACTGGCAGAGTCCAGGGTTCTCAGATTTATTATCTGGGACCCAAAACCAACTAATGTCAGACATCAGCATGAAAACGTTCCTTAGATCCGCCTCGTATGTTGTTAAAGTCCAGCATGAAGCATCTTGTAGCTCTGCACACCAAGAACCAGCATCTAGAACCTGTGAGCTCCAGGTTCTGGTTCCTACCAATGATCCACATCAACATTTAGTCTAAAACCTGGACCCTTGTCTGGTCCAACTTCACCTCATCAGGTTCTACTGATGTTAGAGCCTCAACAGCTGGTGAGATGTGACCAGAGACTGGGTTCTAGTAGAACCATGGATCCATCCATAGACAGACACTGACAGGAACTTCCTAGAGGCCATAATGCCAGCCTCAGTTGAAAATGTTGCACTTTGTTCCATTTTCAAGAGCCAATAATTATTCATGACTGTAGTTTTTGACCATTTTGAGTCATTTTAAAGGTTTTAGGTCCACGTAGACGGTTCTGAGTCGATCTGGATGAACCTTATGATGCTGAAGTGTTGTTTTCTGTAACTTTGGAGGATGTTCTGTTATTTTAGACACGTAGACGAGTCACTTTGGACACATTTCAAGTTATTTTGAACATTTTTTAGTCACCTTGGACAGTATTTAATCAAAAATGGCAAAAAATAAAAATAAAATCTTCAAAATGAGACAAAAATGACACAAAGTTGATCTCCAATGACACAGAAATGGTGTAAATGGACTCATATCAGTGTTTTTGCATGTTAAAACTTCACCACATCAGGTTCTACTGATGTTAGAGCCTCAACAGGTGGTGAGATGTGACCAGAGACTGGGTTCTAGTAGAACCATGGATCCATCCATAGACAGACACTGACAGGAGCGTTTTAGGGACACATCACCACCCTCGATTGAATTTTTTTTCCAATTTCAAGAGCCAGTTATTAAACCATTTGGCCGCTTCTGGATCCGTTCAGTCCTTCTGATCTGCTGGGATCTGTTCTGTGTCTCATCATGGTTTCATGGCCGTAGAGCTGCAGGACTTTAGTGAATGACCATCAGACTGTTGTGCATCACGGTGGAGGTAAATAAAACCTCATCGCTCTGTGTGTTCCAGTGTTCAACGTGGGACAGTACCGACGAGATGCCACCCGCTCCTACAACAGCTTCGAGTTCTTCAGACCCGACAACGAGGAGGCCATGAAGATCCGCAAGTACGAACCAGAGCTTCACTTACATGCAACACGAGCCTCAGATTAGCAGGAAGAAAGTGAAGTGTGGGTCTGAACCGGAGATCCAGACCCGACTGAATTATTAACGGTGCTTTGTGTTCAGGGCCTGCGCTGTCGCCGCCCTCAAGGACGTGTGCGACTACTTCACCAGAGAGATGGGCCAAGTGGTGGTGAGTCCAGCCTCACGCTAAAGTAAAGCAGCTACAGGATTCAAATTAAAATCAGAAAGTGTAGCTTTAGTCCTGCATTCTGTCTGGCAGCCAGCAGGGGGCGACTCCTCCGGTCGGTCTGATTAAACAAGTCTGAAATAAAACGAGCTCATTTTCTGACTCGCTAAACGTCTGGTTGACGAGTTTCTGGTCTCAGTTTGTAGCTTCAGGTCTCCGTCAGTCCAGCACCATGTTGACTTCGTGATCGTCCCGTTCAGAGGAAAATAGATGAAAGATGATGCAAAGATCTAAAGGACGACTCGTGATTGTGTGTTTTTATGGTGGTTTTGCGACTTTGTGTGGATATTAAGCTTCGTTGTTGTTGGTGTTGAGTGTCTATTTATAGTGATTTTTGCATCTTTTGTGGTGATTTTGCATCTTTGTGTGGATATTCAGCAGTGCTTTTTTATGTTGAGTATCTATTTCTAGTGATTTTGCCTCTTTTGTTGGTATTAGGCATCTTCTTGTGATATTTTTGCATCTTTTTTTGTGGTAATTTTGCATATTTCTGTGGTATTAAACATCTATTTGTAGTGACTTTGCATCTTTTGGTGGTGATTTTACATCTTTTTTTGCTGATCTTGCATCCTTCTGTTGGTATTAAGCTTGTTTTTGTGGTGGTTTTGCAGGCTGGGCTGAATTTGCACATCTTTCTTGGTATTGAGCCTTTTTTTCGGATGATTTTGAATCTTTGTGTGGATTATTTTTATTCTTTTTAGTGTTAAGTATGTATTTATAGTGATTTTGTCTCTTTTGTTGGTATTAAGCATCTTCTTGTGATATTTTGCATATTTTTGTGGTTATTTAGCATCTTTTGTGATCATTTTGTGCCCTTATGTTGGTATTAAGCTTCTTAGTGGAGTGATTTTGCATCATTTTGTTGTTTTAAGCATCTATTTGTAGTGACTTTGCATATTTTTGTGATGACTTTGCATCTTTGTGTAGATAGTAAGCAGTGTTTTTGTTGGTGTTGAGTATCTACATGTAGTGATTTTGCATCTTTTGTGGAAATCTTGCATCCCTTTGTTGGCGATCAGCGTCTTGTTGTGGTGGTTTTGCATGTCGAGCATCGTTTTTGTTGGTGTTCAGGGCCAGTTGTCAGATCTTCTAAACCTTTTTAGGTTTTTATCGTGTATTTACAGTTTGTTGCAGAAGCGCTCAGTGGCTGCTCTGGTTTGTGTCTTTCAGGTTTTCGACGCCACCAATACGACTGCGGAGCGCAGAGACGTCATCCTGAGCTTCGCCAAAGAAAACGGCTACAAGGTTTGTTGTCGCACTTCTTCTTTAGCTCGATTAAATCCGTGAACCGGACCGACGCTGCAGCTTCTGGTTCTGTTTGCAGGTTTTCTTCGTGGAGTCGATATGCGACGACCCAGAAATCATCGCTGAGAACATTAAAGTAAGTCGACTGTGGGTCATTCAGTCCCTGCAGGAGTCAAACAACAAACACTGACGCGCTGCACTGAGCGCGCTCACTGCCAGGTCACGTGACCAGCTGGCAAAACCCACAGCAACACGTCAGGATGCACATATGGAGGACAGCTTCCCTGCTGGCTCCAGTCCTGCACTTTCACTTCTGTTTTGTCCCGTTTTCACTTCAGTTTGGTCCGTTCAGCTGTTTGAACATCTGTACAGTCGGTTTGACTCGGTGTGTGTCTCTGAGCAGCAGGTGAAGCTGAGCAGTCCGGACTACGTCGACTGCGACAAGGAGGAAGCTGTGGCCGACTTCCTGAAGAGGATCGATTGCTACAAGCTCACCTACGTTCCGCTGGACGACAACAAGGACAGGTGAGACGTCTGCTTCTCACAGTAACGTTAACGTCCAGCAGCTTCAAGTCCTCTGAGTCAGCAGATTGTATCGGTGTGTTGTGCAATTTATCAGAGCAAGAAACTGTAAAAACAGGAAAAAATAGTCAGATTTTCCACTTTGCTCGAACTGATCATGAAGAACTTTGAGTTTCGTCTGCAGAAAAAAAAACAAATCTAAACTTAAATCTGCATATTTCATCAAATCACGTTGTTCTACACGTCTTGCTTAACAAAAATCAATCATTTGCGTTCATTACATTCTGTAAAAAAGATCAAATTCTTCATAAAAACAGAAAAAACAGTCAGATTTTCAATTTCCAGGCTCGTCCTTGAACTTGTTTTGTGTGACAAAAGCAAAAAGAACCAAAAACAAGCTTAAAATCATCAAATCACTTTATTCTACAGCTTTTTTATTTAATTTAATTTTTTTAAATGCCAAAAATAAACCAGATTCTGTAAAAACCAACAGATTCTCTCATGGAGGCCGATAAAGACTCATCAGTGACTCGACTTTGAACATTCGGTGACTTTTAGCCGAACTGCAGACGAGTACAAAGAGAAATAAAAAACAGAAGAAGTAAAACGTCTACAGGACCAAGAGTCACTTTAGCTTTTAAAAACTGACACCATTCATCAGCCAGAAACTGTGAAAACAGGAAAGAATGAGACTTGAAATGATGAAAACGATGAGACACACGATGATACGGAAAGAATCCGACAAAATGACCAAATTAGACCAAAAACAACAAAAATGAGTCAGAAAATGAGACAAATAACAGGAGGGAGATAAAAGCAGTTCTCTCTCCTCCTGCTTCATGTTCTGGTTCCTCAGAGCTTCAGGACTTGATGACAAACATGGACCTCAGAGGAGGACCAGGAGACAGAAGCTGTTGGACTTCAGCTTGTTCATGAGGTTTTTGTCCTTTTCTGTTTCGTCTCTTCTCAGGAGTCTGTCTTACATCAAAATCTTCAACGTGGGCAGCCGCTACCTGGTGAACCGGGTCCAGGACCACATCCAGAGCCGCATCGTGTACTACCTCATGAACATCCACGTCACGCCCAGGTCCATCTACCTGTGTCGCCACGGCGAGAGCGAGCTCAACCTGGTGGGCCGCATCGGCGGCGACTCGGGGCTGTCGGGTCGCGGCGGGAAGGTTGGTGTCCGTCGTTCTCTCATGTGTCGCTCTACAGCAGGGATCTCCAGCTCCAGGCCTCCTGAGCTCCGGGCCTGCAGGTTTCAGACGTTACTGCAACACACCTGACTCACATGAATGGATCTCCAGCAACAATTTCCCTGAGGTTCTACCAAAGGGATCTATCTATCCATCTATCCATCTATCTATCTACCTACCTACCTGTTAGTGATCCATTAATGTGAGTCCGGTGTGCTGCAGTAACGTCTAAAACCTGCAGGACAGGAGCTCACCAGGACCGGAGCTGGAGATCCCTCCTCTGCAGCGTTCCTGCTGTGGTTCTGAAGCTGCTTCTTCTTCTGCTCAGTTCGCCAGCGCTCTGGGCACCTACCTGCGGGGTCAGAGCATCAGCGACCTGAAGGTGTGGACGAGTCACATGAAGAGGACCATCCAGACGGCGGAGGCTCTGGGGGTCCAGTACGAGCAGTGGAAGGCCCTCAACGAGATCGACGCTGTGAGTC